CGCCTCCCAGGCGCCAGGCTTTTGTCTGCAGACAAGGAGCGAGATCCCCGCTGTGAGAGATTCAACGGCAGCCTCTCAGGCTGGCTGAGACAGATCTCTGGAGAGGGGCACCGACGGGGCATTTCTGCCACACTATCTATCTATCTAGCTATCTATCTGTAGATAGATAGCTAGATAGATAGATATACCTGAATATATCTGATTCCCAAGAATTGCTTCCTTGGAACGGAGTAGTTAATACTTCAATAGAAGATCCAAAGCACTCCACTGCATGTCATAGTTAACGTGCAAAAATAGTGTCACTGAAGAACCAAGTAGTATCTGTTATGGAGGAGCTTCATGTGGAGTTTATGCTTTAGGACAGGGGCGGGCAAAATGGTGGATCTGGCCAGTGGCCAAGGTTTCCATGAAGACCAGCACTGGCAGGGCATATGGCTGGGCAGGGAGCTGTGCCAGGGCCTGGCCTGGGATCTTGTGGCAGTGACAGTGTGGTCTGGAGCCAAGGCAGAACTGTTATCTGCCACTCACAAGATCCCAGTGCCATGATCCGCTGTCACTGCCACAAGATCCCAGCCCCAGAGCAGCTCCCCGCCCAGCCATGCACCCTTCCAGAGCTGTGGGGGCCAGTCTCCATGGTGCTGTCACAGCCCCGCCAGTGCTGGGGTCTCCATGGAAACTGGCTTCAACGTGGGCAGGGGCTGCTAGGAAGTGGAATCTGCCGCAGGCCTGATCCGGCCCATGGGCCAGACTTTGCCTGCCCCTGCTTTAGGGTCCACCAAGGTTGCAGGAATTTCAGTGCTGCTGCAGTAATTACACTCAGGTCAGCATTCACACCATTAGTGGTAGAAGACCGGCTCTCTCCTGTTTATCAGCACATTGGAGTGGTTGCACAAATCTTCACAATGGTGCTGCAGTCCCAGCATTGTCTGGGCCTTCCTTGTTACACAGCAGATGTATGGGTATAGAGTTTGCCTTCCCAGTCCTTGACAGAAAGTGACTGTACTTTACACCAAGAATAGCCGTCTTGTGGGGTGATGTGTAACCCAGTGACATCTCTTAGGTGCTACACAGGGGCAGAGACTCTACCCCTTGGAAGCACTGCATACTGTGTCCCTTGGACAAGTCAGTGTCTATCATACAGCCCTCTAAGTCAGGGGAGCAAGGTTTTGCAGTATGGGGGGGGGCAGCCCCCCCCCCCCCCCCCCCCCCCCCTCAACAGTGCCACCATCACCACTTCTCCCCACCACTTGGGCAAAGTCCCCCTCTCCCAAAACACCACAGAAGCCCCGTCTCCAGGCCAGATAAAATGGCTCTGTGGTTGCCGACCCCTTCTCTGAGTGCTCCTCGGTAGTGGTTACAGAGGAGTTTGATGGCATCAGCCAACCTATCTTAACCAAAAAGAGGTTTAAATTGAGAAAAATAGGACACCTAGGAAAGCACCCTTTTTCCAGTAACAGATTGAAGGGAAAAATCTGTGATCTGATGTTGCTGAGAATCCTTCTGCAATGTTTCTTTAGCCACCATTGAACATGGCAAAGTACTAATTTGGCTGGCAGGAGTACTGCAGTACCTCCTGTCAATCCATAATATTTTCCCTTTGTCTTGCCTGATCTTTGAGGCAGGCAGGCTTTCAGGAGTCTGAAATATAGAAGTTGAGGTCCATCATCAATGGTACTTACTAGAAAATGTATCAGCTGGATATCTGGAACAGGAGTTTTGTGGGCTACAGCATGCTTATAGCTAACTGTAAGAAAAAAGCTCAAGCCCTGCACTTCACTTCTGATGCTTGTGCCCTTTGGATTCCCTCCCAGACTGCTGCTTGGCTCTGACTCTACCACTGGCTCTTTCTTCCATACTTTGCATACTTATGTATATAGAAATACTGCAAAATTGCTGCTCTTCAGCTGGTCCTTTCCTTAACTCTATTCCACAACCTTTTGGACTGTGAACATACAATCATACAAAGCTTTTTGACATCAGTATGTTTCCATTCCCTGGGGATTCCATAAACCTCCCTGAGTTCACCTCTCTTAGTCTCCTACTGAACCACAGAGGCCATTCCTGACCAATCTCTCACAGAGCAGCTCCCTATAAAATGACTCATTTGGTTGCCCTTCTTGTATACTTTGGATCTTTGTTCTGTGCTTCCTATAATACAGTGACCAGATTTGTACACATTATTCCAAAAGAGGACATCCAGCTGCGTTACTGGATGCTAAAGTAATAATGTCTGTGGGTTTCTAGTCCATAGCTTTCCATATACAACCAAAGACCTTGTTTGCCTTTGTTACTGCTGCCAGATGTTCTGCAGATGGTTTTCAAGCATATTGCGGTGAGCGTTACCGTGCCAATGAATTTCAGCAAATTTTAAGAAGCTTTGAAATGATTTATTTTTCCAGATAATTATACGCAAGTTAAACCAAGCTGGGTTGATACTTGATACTTTCCAGTTTTGTTACCTTTTATTACCCCAAATCACTACCTGCTATCAGTTCACTCTGATGGATTCACTTCAGTACTCTCCTTTTGTCAGGTCTTTTTCTGGCTGCTTTGTTGGAATTGCCATCTAAAAGGCACTTTGTCAAAAATTATGGCAGTTCCACTATGTTTATAACTAATTTTGCATTCATTGTAGCCTTGACTCCCTCAAGAGAATAAGAGTGGGCCTTTTTCTGAGGGAAGGAGGAAGGGGAAGGGACAACCTTAAAAAAGATTCTGATGCTCCCCCCTTTGTTTCTGGTGCAGATTTGCTGACAGCAAAGGACTACCACTGCCTGCTGCAGCTGCTGTGCCCTGACTTTCCAATGGAACTCACTCAGAAGGCAGCAAGGTGGGTCTTCATCTGCTCCTCTTTCTATGGTTAGATCAACCCTATACTACAGCTTTAGTCGCTACAGCTAAATAGATTCAAACGTGAGCATGGACATTTAACAAAAAGGCCAGAATTATTTGTGGAGACATCATGATTTGAGGTTGAATAGTGGGTACATTTTTAGCAATAAGAAGTGGTCTGCCAGGGAATGACAGCACAGTGATGCTAAGGTCAGCAGTGCCATTATTGACCTTGTCTAGATGCAGAAAATGGGCCATGTTTAAAACAGTATTAGCTTGCACATTTTTAATTAGCCTGATTTCAAACTCTATTTTAGATCAAGTTTATCTCTGAAAATGTGTTAACTTTCCTCCCAGCATTTACCGTGACTAGCCAACACTTTCTAAAGACTTCAATTGGCAATAGCATTCAAAATAATGGTGATTAAGAACATGTTAGCCAACCTGTTAGAAAATACAGTTTATGTTCCTATCTTAGATAAGTGGCTCAGGATACTGGGAACATCATATGGAGCTTTTGCCTCTCAGTCACTGGTTATTGACTATCAGACTTCTGTTGGTAATGGTGAAATGAAGTGGGGGCATTGATCCAAATGCTACCAGGCATAAGTGCATGTCAACCACAAGATGACAACATATGTGGTCTTCTTACTGGCTACCTAGCTCAGAATATAAGCAGTGGAGACTGAACTCTCTCTAGCCCCAGATATGGTCCTTCCAGGCCCAGGTCAGGCACTTAAGCAAGACAGTGGCTGCTGTCTGTCATTCCTGTTCTATGGATGAAGAGGCCTTCAGTTTCTAGGCAGCATTCTGGCACTTCTCATCAGCATCATAGTCCTGTGAAACATGAACAAAAGAAAGCAAAAGAGATGTGTAATCCATCTGCTGGTACATCCACGCTGCTCTTTTTTGAAGTCTTCCTCCCAGAGCATTGCTGTCCCAGCTGAAATGCGCTTAATGCTATTAAATCCAGCTAAAACTAAAGATAGAGCAGAACAGCTCTCTCTAGTCTATCAGTGAGGAATCCCTGGCTTTATATCTTCCCTAGTGTAGTTCCATAGCCTCCTGCACTAAACCAAGAAGGAATACTAGAGCTGTAGCAAAGATTTTTTTTGTTTGCTACAATTTTGCATGGAGATGCAAAAGCACCATCCCACACATGGGCCTATATTGTAAAGGGCTCCAGCTGAGTTGAGCAAGGATTTGGAAAACAGCATGAAAGGGAAACTTCAGAGTATCTACACATATTATGATGTTTGTGTCAAGGAATTTAATCCACAAGACTGTTGTAAACTAGAGGCCCCATTCAGGGGTAGGCTTCCCACAACTGCACTGCTCTGTGTGTGTTAGAGACAGACTAGCCCAGGTTTCAGAGCAAGTGTGCAAGAGAAATGAGATCTCTCTCTGAGGCACCCTGGCTCAGGTGGGGATGACCTCACTCCTGCCTGTTTAGACTTACATACACATTAATATTGTTTTGTTAATCACTAATCCAGTTGAACAAGGTTAATAAAACCAATTTCTGTTCAAAACTGGCTTCCTTTTTTGTTCCCATCTACAGTTCTGTCTCCTTTTTTTCATCCTTCATCTCGGTCTGCACTTTTCCACTAGTGCTGTCTCTTTGCTCTCTCTCTTCCCTATAAGTTTCACAGGTTAAAACAGACAAGCCTTAATGGACCACTTCTGCTGTCACAGAGTATGGGCATTATGAATGCTAACCTTTTCACAGGCTGAGCACCCCACACAGCTGTGATTGCTTTGCTTTGGGAAGGAGAATGCACTCAGGAGTATCAGTAGCAGCACTCAAGTGATTAAGCTTGGGATCCTGAAATCGTAGGTACTGTGTCAGGGCTCCCTCCCTTCCAAGGGAGGGAAGGTGAGTAACCCACAAGTCACACGCGAGGGTCAAAGCAACAAGTATACCTTTTATTGCAAGTAACAGCAAAATAGTCTAATAGCAGCAACTCACTACAAAACCGCTAGCGCATTGGACTGGAGGAGAGGCACTCCCCACCCTGTCCTAAGTCATTACCTGACTTGTCTTGGGAACCCCACTCTGCATCCAGGGTGGCAAGACGGTCTCCTTTATCGGGTCCTCAGCCTTGTCCTTCCCCAAAGTGATTCTACCAGGGGCCTAGTTCTCATTACTTTTATCCTTTCACTCCCACTCCCTATCTCTTTGGGTTCTCCAATCAAAGCAGCTTCTAGCCTGATTACCTTTTAGGGATTAGAGCAAAGCTATTGTTTCATGCTGCAAAGCTGTCATTTCGACATGCTGCAGAGGTAACATTTCAAAGTTCTCTTTCCAGAGCCGTTAGTCCAAGCAAGAGAGGTTCCTCTTTCTAACTTTATCCAAAGAACAAGAACAGCAGATGCATTAGGTCATTACCCCGTGGCTCCTGGGTTCTGCAAAGCTGACCACCCCCCGGGATGCCAGCTTAGCCTCCTCCCAGAACCCTTTTCGGAACGGGCCTTACATACTGTTAGGAAGAGATCAGCCCTCTGAGTAGCCTCAGAGCTGCATTACTGAGATGATCTCACAATATAGCATGATCTACTCTTCCAGGAGTTGTTGCTATGCATTGATAACAAACACTGGAAGAGAACAAGGTCAGGAAATGTCAGGGCAAAAGAACAGAAGCAACAACAATGTAAAGTTTTATTGGCACCAAAGCACAGGGAGCCCAGTTCTTCTAGGTGTAGTGCAGATCTTCTTGCCACACCCAGGGGAGAACCAGACTAGTAGCTATTTCCTTAAGGCCCTGGAGGCCCTGATACTCAGTAGGACAGTAGCTATGCAGAAAGTTTGAAGAGTTTAATCTTCAGAGGTGCTGTCTGGCTTGCAGTCTTTTACTTGGAGAAGGATGTGGAGAAGAGGGATTTTCTGGTTTGATGCCATAAACAAGGGCCTGTATCTGAGCCCCTACTTCTGCGGGCCGTAAACTTAATTAAAAAAAAAAAAAAAGTCTTCCTGCTGTCTTCAGGTGCTCTGTTTATTGTACGCTGTTAACAGCAGAAAGCAAACCAAATCCCAAGAGACCCACATGTGAGGGTGAACTACTCATAAGTATATGCTCCCAGGCAAGTTTCTACAAGTCCAGGAAAGCAGGAGCAGATTTGCTGCTAATGGCAGCAACTTGCTCTTGCTTCCTGGGGCCCTGCAATGGGGCCCCTGCCACCACCAAAGGGAGCTCTAGACTCCCCCTGGGTGCTAGCCTAGGGGCTGGCAGGGAGAACTGGGCCAGGAGACAGCTGGAGGAGCTGGGGAAGAAGAGCTGCACAGCTGTGCCTGCCTCTCCCTGCTCAACCAGAATCAGCACCAAAACAGTGTCAAAACTCTGAAACAGATTTGGCTGAATCGAAATGGAACAGTGATCCAAAATACCGAAATGAATCGCTGTCCCTCAAAAATGACTGAATCTGAAACAGAAACGAAATATAGCTGTTTCACGCATCCCTAATCCTTATCTCCCAACCACAGGGCTTGAGCTGGGAGATAAGGATCTCCCAGCCCCTGCTCCTGGATTGTGATCTTGGAGCAGGGGTCTTGGAGCTCTCTGCTGCTGGGGCAGGGGAACATAATCCTCGCCCGGGCTCCTGCGGCGGAGCCCGCCCCAGCAGTAGACAGCTCCTGGGGACAGAAAGTAATCTCCCACTGCCTGACTGACCAGGAGCAGATTTGCTCCCAGTCAGGCAGCTACACGCACTACTGCACAGTAACTAATCGCAAGTAAATTAGTTTGCAGGTAGCAAATTTACTCGCGATTAGTGAAGCTTACTGTGCTGTAAGCACGTGTATGTGTAGACATGCATGCTTACTGTGCAGTGAACTATGCTACTGCATAGTAAAGTCTCCCATGTCGACACACCCAGTGTCTCTCTTAATCTTTAATAGCAGCAGATAAGTGAAAAAAAACATGAACAGTCCTCTTTCCCACATGTAACCTAGAACCCGTCCTGAGATTTTCTGAGATTTTAGCTAGTTAGTAGATTATGGAGTTCTTTCATTGGCAGAGTAATCCCAGCCTTCTGCCAAACAAGCCTGCTTGATTCCTGCCAGGCCAATTCACTTGCTACACAACCCCTCAAGGGAAGGCCCCTTTTTTAATTCCTTCTGGAGAGTTTGTTTCCTTGGTTTTCATTATTCTCTAGACATGTAAAAGGATGTCATCTGTACCCTAAAGCGCATAAAACCTAATTCAGACAAGCAGAAAGAGTCAAGGATGCTCCAAAATATCATCCCCTAGCAGAGATCCTGGGAGTCAGAACTGGATATCTGGATTTTGCTTGCTGGGGTTATGGACCCTCTGTGGCTAGGATTCTCCTCACACCCAGCATTTTAGGAGAGATGCACAGACATGTTGCAAGTGGGGCTTTCCCAGCATCCTTGACTGCAATCAGCTGGCTGTTTGAAAGAAAAAGTCCAGCTGCAGGCAGTCTCCTCTCAAGTGACCGCCCTGGATTTACACTTTTCTCAGCCTTTCTGGAGTGCAGATGCCTTAGCCAACTGGAGTTGGTATCCAGCACCAGAGTGCACCTGCTTTTAGTTAGACAATTCCCCCTCATATAAACAGCTGCATAGTTCTCCATCCTGGCTTTATGACTTTCTGTAACAGCGAGAGTGTCTCAGCAAACTCAGATTAATACCAATTCACTGCTGCTCTTCTGTAAGTGGAAGAGAGTTTTGCTGCTACTGCAGTAAAGGCAACCCCTTGCAGCTTTAGATTTCACAAATGAATTTAGTTGGTTGCCATGATGGTAATATTGCACTTCCTCTCCATAAAATGGGAGCATAGCATAACCCTCTCATTACTCTCCTCCTGCTTGAGGAAGGAGAAGTGCATTGGCCAAAGCTATAGAAACTGTGCTTTGAGGGTGTGCAGATCATTAGGCAGAGGGAGGGATCCCAGCTTCTCAGTGATGTGGCCTGTAGCATTTCCAGTGCTCTAAGAGTGGTTTGAAATGCCAGCAGCTAAACTGAATTGTCTAGGAGATGAAGATGCTCTGCCTGCCAGCTTCAAAGCCATCTCCTTGATGTGGCCACTGACAATCTCAGTAACATACTTATTAGTGAGAATTAAGAACTGAAGCTGCTGCTCTAGACAGGAGGAGGAGGAGGTGGTGGTTTCTGGGACATAATAAATAAATCAGAAGCACTTTGACATCTTCAAAGGGTTTTGTTTTAAACAGTGGCTTTTCTCCTGGGGACCCTCTTAGCCCCAGTCTTTCTTCTTTGAGATAATTAATTCAAGCTGCTCTGCATGCTTGAGTTTGCTACAGTGAACTGAGCTGGTCTGAGTGGCAGGGAAGGAAGTCTTTTGCACAAACAGGTCCTTTAGTACTCTCCTAATGCACCCTCTCACGCTGCTTCCTAGAGCTTTCCAGGAGCTAAGAGCATAAACCTCAAAGCCCTTTGCCACACTCAGATGGCTCCCATCCCTCTTTCCCTTCTCTCTTTGTCAGAACAGAGCTATACTGTCTCCTCTTTAGCTGGTTTCTCCCTCCTCTCGCAGTAGTGGTGGTGAGAATATTGTTTCTGTGGTTTCACTTCTGTAAACCTGCTGGCTTTAGTCCTTACAGGGCTGTGAAATTGAGAGGTTCCACCAGAATATTACAGAAAAGACTTCACTACTGCCTCTGTCACATCTTTATGTCCTCTGTGACCTTAGCTAATATTATCTATATTTATGCTGTGGGTGAATGCAATTCCATAGCTGTGCCTGGTACTTTATAGAGACCATGAAGCTGCATTGCTTTGGAGCTGCCCCAAGGGTTTTTCAGTCTCCAAGAGACATGACACAAGGGCATGCAGGGGAGACAACTTCATTTGTTAAGTGGGACGTTCTTGCACACAAAGCACTTAGGGGGTTACTTGTTCATGCAAGGTACATGTTGTACTATTTTCCTTTCTAGTAACCTGGGATTTGCTTGATATAAAAGTAGGAGTTACTTTACAGGTCACCCTCAGATATTTAGAAAATTGCCTCATTTGCAAAATTCTGTTACAGATACAGGGCCTCATTCTTTTTTCATTGTGCTAATTTAAACTATTTTAGCTCCATTTTCTTCAGCACATTTGCTCTTGGTTTACCCCAGTTTGAGATCAGAGTCAGTCCTGCCATTTATACACCCCATATGGTTGCCAGGGTGTCTCCTACCATTTCCATCCTTCTGTTATGTATTTTGAATCGATGGCTGTCTGACATCCATTCTGGTCTGAGAGACAAGGTCCCTGGTCATACTATAACTGGGGCTGTCACTTGCAGTGATGTGGACAGGGCCTTCCTTTGAGTCTTGGGTTACCAAACTCTGCACATTTAATACCTCAGATCTGGAATGTTTATATCCTCTGAATATTCACCCATACACACAGACCTGGGATTTTCCTTCCTTCTTGCATGGCATTTTCCTCCCGAGTCTGGGTGTTCCCATCTCCCCTTGAAGGCTTACCCGCCTCCTAGGTCTGGAACCTCTGTCCTGGTCTAAGGAGAGGAGATGTTTGGGAACCATCATCTTTTTTGTGTTTGTTGAGTTGTTTCTCTTCTCTTTCTCAGGATCGTGCTGATGGATGATGCCATGGATTGCTTGATGTCTTTTTCTGATTTCCTCTTTGCCTTCCAGATCCAGTTCTACTACTCAGGTGAGACCAGACCACTGGGAAGCTAATGTCTTGTCTGCTGCCCTAGCTTGTGTCTTTCTGTTACAACCTCTCAGCCGTGTGTCTCTTGCACTCTTTTTGAAACTGAGAAACGGAAATACTTTTTCACACAAAGCACACAAATAATTTGTGGAACTTACTGCTGCAGGACCCCACCAGAATCAGGAGAATTGTAATGGTATATAATTTACTTTTTAAGAAGAGCCTTGGAAGGAGTATGGTCCCTCACACCTTGGAATATATGCCAATTCTTACTTATCAGTATTTGGGAAGAAACTTTCCATGTGGCTGCTTTTCTTATAACTGCCTCATGAATATTTCTTCCTCTGAAGTAGCTGGTACTGACCTCTACTGGAGAGAGGCCTATTTGTTATGCAATGTGAAACCATGCTGCTGGAGACAGGATGATGGATTAGGCGGTTTGTTGGTCTGATCAAGTCCTGTATTTCTAGCAATTGAAGACAGGCCCCATCCATAGTACAAATATCTGCATTTCAGCACTTCTTCTCTGCATACTTCCTACTGTAAAGCCTCTGTGCAGATCCAAGCAGTATTCCTGACTGGGGCATGAAAGTGAAACAGCTCAGGGGACTAGTTTTGTGAATGAGGCAGAACTAGGGCTGGAATTGTCTGCACTGGGGACAGTCTGAGAAATGTCCTGTGTTCAGAAAATCTTTCCTTGCTATAGCAAATATTTTCACAGTGAGCTACAGAACCTCAGCGCAGCACCAGGAGTCATCCTGCTGCCCTCGTCCTGCTCACTTGATCACGCTTCCCTTCATAAGGCATCACGTCACTGGACTCTACACACACACCCCCCCTTGTGTGCACACGCGCAAAACACATCACCCCATTTCTCTTCACACCGGCAGAACATTCACATAAGACTCTCACACTCTTCCCCATCACCCCACACACATGCAAACCACTCCGAGCGGAATCTAGATTTGTAAACTGCTGACCGCAGCCATAAACAACCTTGTTTAAAATTAGACTCTTGCAGTAAACAGTGGGTAGTACTAGGAGCCTGGGGGGAGGCTTCCTGCCAAGTCCAGCCCTGACCTGCCCTGGCCTTCTCTTTAGGTCCCGTGTTGTATTTACTTTGGAGCAATGCTGAAGCAGGCTAGGTTACAGCCTGGAGCCTGGCTAACCCATTCC